CACAGCTGGCCTTGCTTCTCTGGGTGTTTTGATTAATAAATGGTTTCAAATTTGTGTAGTGTTAGCCCCTCCTCAATGATTTGCATAAGAATCTTTTGGTTCAATTTAACAGTTTCTAATAAAGTTAACATAAGACCCATAATCCCATCCAAGAGAAATAAAAACACACCTACGTAAAGGCTTGTACACAAATAATCATATCAGTTTCATAATCTCTAGACAGTAGAAACCAGCTAAACGTCCGACTGGTGAATGAATAACTTGTCCGGCGGTCATACAGTGGAATATACTCAGCAATGAAAAGGGAACAGATCACTGGTGCATACAACACGTGGATGAATGTCAAAGCGTTTTGCTGAGTGAAAGAAAAGACATTCTGGAAAAGGCAAAAGTATAGGGAAGAAAATCAGAAAAGTGGCTGCCAAGGCCTGGGAGCAGGGGCAGCACAGAGAATTTTCCAGTGGGATGGAAATAAACATTGGATTGTGGTTACAGCATAGTATGTATCTGTCAAATACACAGAATAATACAACTAAAAAGGGTCGGTTTTACTGCATGTAGATCATACCTAAAATGCCTGACTTTAGAAAGAAAAAAGTCCCTCGGTTCCCTTCTCCCCACCCTCCTACCCTCACTCCTGATCGGGATCTCTAATTCTATGGTAAAATGCAAATCTTTTCCTGGCTATAGGGAGCCCTTTGCCATTTTTGAATAGAAAAATGATGTAATGATTTGGTAGTTTTAAGAAAATTAAAAAGCCAGAGAGTTTTAGTACAGAAGTGAGGGAGGAAGAAGAAATTGGCCTGAAGAGAAGCTAGAGGTGGCGCGATGGAACTGAGTCCTCAACTGCAGTGCCCTTTGAAGGGATGGATTCATTCATCCCTTCAAACCCTGTACGGGGCACCTACACTGCTGGGCACTGGGCATGCAACAATGCCATCTAGTGAGGCTGTGGGGAGAAGCCAGTAGAGGAGACAGGAATGAACAGTGAATGTTAGCCAACTGGAATGTTAGTGCTGAAACAAGTCAACAGGTGCAGTGAGTGGGAAAGGGCAGTGTGCAGTGGGAGGTGGGGTCCAGTATCCACAGCAGGGTAGTTGCCAGATCTGCTGAGAACTGAAGGCGAGGCACCGTCAGAGGAAAGGAGGGAGGAGAGTGTGACAACCTAGAGCATGGCGTGTGAGCCCGGTGTGTTCAGGGCACTGCCGTTCAACATGACTGGAGGGGATAGGGGCAGTGATGGGTGATGAGCCCACAGACGAAATGCCTCAGAGCCCTGTGGCGGGTCTCCAACAATGGGGAACCACTGCAGAGTTTCATACAGGGGAGTGACATAGTCAGATCCGTGATTTAGAGGTGAGCAAATTGGAAACTGGATTGGAAACTGGATTGTAACGTGGCAGCAGGGAGGTCTGTAAGGACACTGCTGTCTTCATCAGACCAGAGGTGGTGGTGGCCAAGGAGATGAAGAGAAGTAGAGAGGTTTGGAGGTTTGGCTACTTATTAGGTAGAATTGTTAAGATTTAGTGATTGAACGCTGGGACAGAAGAAGAGAGAAAAGCCAAAAATGGTGCCTTGACTCTGAATTGGGTGATGCCGTCCACTGAGAGGGAGCAAGTTTGGGAGAAGAGATTAGAATGTGTTAGGTGTGAGATGCTTGTGGGATATGGAAGTGGAGACTCCAGAAGACAGTTGGATATATGGCTGTGGAGCTCAGAAGAGAAAACATGAATGATGTGAAGTCATGTGAGTGCTTGAGAGTACCTAGGGAGAAGACACACCTAGTGACCAGCTCTAAACCCTGGGCCACAATATTTAAGGGAGAAAAACAGAACTCACAAAGGAGACTGAGAAGGAAAGGCTAGACAGCCAGAAGAAAAAATAAAGGCAAGGGAAGAAAGGAATGGGCAACATCTTTTACTGTTGTTGAGAGGTCAAGTAAGACAAAGGTCAGTTAGATTTAGCATCAAGGAAATGGTAATCTTGGTGACAAGTTTTATCTTTTATTTTTTCTCTCCTCCCTCCCCTTGGTGACAAGTTCTAATGGAGAGTCTGAGGTAGAAGCTAAACTGAAGAGCAACTAAGAGATTAGTCAGCAACCAAGCCCAATTCCTAAATGATAACAATTTAAAACTCTAGGTTGGGCACGGTGGCTCACACCTGTAATCCTAGCACTTTGGGAGGCTGAGGCAGGTAGATCACTTGCCGTCAGGATTTCGAGACCAGCCTGGCCAGCATGGTGAAACCCCAACTCTACTAAAAACACGAAAACGTAGCCGGATGTGGTGGTGCATGCCTGTAGTCCCAGCTACTCGGGAAGCTGAGGCAGGAGAATTGCTTGAACCCTGGAGGCGGAGGTTGCAGTGAGCTGAGATCACGCCACTGCACTCCAGCCTGGGTGACAGAGCGATACTTCGTCTCAAAAAACAAAACAAAACAAAATTCCAAACTCTAGCTTAACAACAAAGTCCCATGATTCAGACTTCAAAAATAAATAAATAAATAACAAAGCAGTAAAAGCAGTAGGAAAAAAATATGGGAAATTAGAAAAAAAAAACTCAGAATGGATGTATTTTTCTAGTATGACACAAAATAGAAGCCATAAAAGAAGACAGATAAATGTCTACCTGAACTTTTTTTCTAAGCGGTCACAAAACATATACAAATAAAATAACCAAAATATGAACAATAAAAATATTTAAACTCATATTTTGGAATGAGGACCAATTCTTTTCAATATAAAAACTTGCAAAAATCATTAAGAAAAACTAACAACCAATAGAACAAAGAAGCAAAGAATATGAACACAGTTCATAGAAAAGGAATCAAAAGGGTTCTTAAACACATGAATATACACCTCATCTATCAGAAGATACATGAAAATTTTACATGATTTTTCTCACAGATTGATATCTATTGAAAAGTTTGATAAAACTTTGAGAATTGTGGCTAAACAGGTACTCTCATACAGGCTGGTGGGAGTGTACATTGGGACAGCTTTTATGGAGAACAATTTGTAGTATTACACGTGTATACTCTTTGACTCAGCAATTCTGTTTCTAGAAATGTATCCTACATATTTACCTGCACTGTATAAATTTCCAAGCTTATTCACTACAGCCATATCTGTAATAGCAAAAATTGGAACCATCCTAACTTAGAGTAGAAAAGGTGTGATACCTTTCTTTACCCAGCTTAAGGTCACAGCTGACACCATAACAAAAGACAGATTAACAAGATAAATGGATAACCAACTGATTGAATCACAGGGGTTTTTTGTTTGTTTGTTTTTGTTTTGAAACAAGTCTTGCTCTATTGCTCAGGCTGGAACTCATTGCAACCTCTGCCTTCCAGGTTCTCCTGCCTTGGCCTCCTGAGCAGCTGGGATTACAGGCATGCGCCACCACGCCTGGCTAATTTTGTATTTTTAGTAGAGACAGGGTTTCACCATGTTGGTCAGGCTGGTCTAGAACTCCTTACTTTGTGATCCCCCACAACTCGATCTCCCAAAGTGCTGGGATTACAGGCGTCAGCCACGGCTCCCCGCCTGAATCATAGTTTTATGCGACATAAGTGCCTTTGGAAATGAAGACCCGAAGACCCAGGGAAAGCTGTTAATTTTTATGCTTAGATTAGATGAAGAATGGACAGCTGTGGAGAAATGTGACTGGACAAAAGGAGTATGATCTCATGGTAACAGATTGAAGGAGGAACCCAGCAAGTCCTGTCCTCTCTGTGTAGCACTCCTTCCTCCCGAGTGTAGGGCAAGACCCTTTAGGAACAAGGGTCTCATGACAAGGTACATCAGATAATTTCTTTATGGCCAGCTCTTACACAAAAAGGTGAGGGAAGGCTAGATTAATATTTCTAGGTTTTTCTAGAATAATGTTTCTGGCTTGCTTTGGAGAAAAGGGGTTCTAGTTTCCATGATACGCCTTGGGGAAGAGACATGATCCGCCCTTGGGAAGAGAAATTCTGGTTTCTATTATTTGCTTTAGGAGACACAGAGGGGTAAGAGACAAGAGGGCAGGAGAAAGTCAGAGAGAGACTTTGCTTCTAAGGCTTCTCTGAGGCCCTCCAGTCTTCTTTAGTTCAAAGCACGCAGTGTGCCAAAAGCCTATTTTGAAGTTGTTTCCTGAGCACCAACAATATGGGTCAAGGATATTAAATTGGGACTCTCACTACCAGTGCTGTGGTCCTGCAAGAAGTTGAGAAGGGGCTAGAGCTCCCTGAGAGCCCAGATGTAGATGCGTATTTGATAGTCCTTGGCTTAGGGTCAAAGACTGAAGTGATATAGAATCAGTTCATCCAAGGCAAGAGTAGGTTCTACAGGTTGCTCCTCAAGGGTAAGGACCAAATTTTATTCATCTCTGAAAGGCCAGGATCAAACACAATCAAGATTTTATAAAACAGGCCAGGCGTGGTGGTTCACGCCTGTAATCCCAGTACTTTGGGAGGCCAAGGAGGAGGGCGGATCACCTGAAGTCAGGAGTTTGAGACCACCCTGGCCAATGTGGTGAAACCTCATCTCTGCTAAAAATACAAAAGTTAGCCAGGCGTAGTGATGCGCGCCTGTAATCCCAGCTACTCGGGAGACTGAGGCAGGAGAATCTCTTGAACCCGGGCGGCGGAGGTTGCATTGAGCTGACACTGCATTCCAGCCTGGGTGACAGAGCAACTCCACCTCAAAAGAAAAAATAAAAAGATTTGGTAAAATAATGTACATATAGGAAAGAGATGGAGGGACCAGAGAGGGAAACCCAGGAAAGGTGAACAGAAAGAGAAAAGCAGCCAAGATAATGTGGTGGCTTGGAAGCCGAAGGGAGGGAGCCTAATGAGACCCGGAGCAGAGCACAGCACAGGAATACACCATTTTTCACCAGAACGACATTCTGACCTCTGAATCAAACCTGGAATGGCCCTTCCATTGAACTTCTTGTGATGGAGAAAAAGAAACCCTCAGTTTTCTCATAGCAAGACGGAAGAGTTTAAATGCATACCTGAGATCTCCCTCCAGCCCTGACGCACGCCTCCGCTGGTCCTTTCAGCGTCGGTCGCCTAGGAGACAAGCGTCACTTCCGGCAGCACAGTCACTTCCGGCAGATCGTCCCTTCCGCGGAGTTCCGGCCTCTCCTCGAGGGCTGTCGCTGATTGGCCCGTTTGAAATGCGCCTGGCGCGAGCTCACCTGAGCTCCCCGCTTCTCCGCCGGCGCCGCAGAGCTTCGCGCCTTGGCCGCGGAGTCCCGGTTCCCGCGGGCTGTCCCAGTGTCCCTCCGGCTTCTCCGGCTCCCCGTCCCGCGCGCGTGTTTGGGCGGCTTGGAGCCTGCTGCCATGAAGCCAGCGTGAGTACGAGGCCGCCGAGTAGGGAGGGAGGGCGGACGCGGTCCGGGACCACGGGGCGGAGGGTCGGCGTCTCTGCTCAGGCCGCGGCCGGACGCCGGCTGCGCGGTCAGCATCTAGTCCGGTGCTGCCGCGGCCGCGACCCCAAAACGGGAGCCTCCACGTGCGGCAGCTCCGCAGGAACCTGGGCGCGGAGACCCCTGCCGCATCGCCCCCCGCCGCCCCGCCCCGGGTCGGCCGGAAGCCGGGGGTGCTTTATGCCGCACCCGGTTCCCGGTAGCGGGGCTGTCCTCGGGGCTCCGGGACAGCCTTCCCTTTCTCAAGTTCCCCTTCTCCCTCGCTGGCTGCGGCCGCCTCCAGAGCGCAGTCGCTGCGGATTGACTTAGTGGGGATCGGGGACGGTCTCGCGTTGTGGTGGGCATTGGTTAGGTGGGCTCCGTTTCTGGAGAGCCCTGGCACCGGTGATCGCCGCGATCTCTTAGCCCAGCAACCTGGCCTTGAGGCCGAGCCCAGCCCCTTTCACAGGCCAGTACTTCTGTTGTGTTTTGTGGCCGCGGGCAACCCCCGCTCACATTCCTAAGTTGGTACTTTCGGCGCAGCATCATTCATGGGTGAAGCAGTATTTGTTGTGTTAAGGAGAAGATTGGCTTTATTGCCATTTAGGGAGTCGTTTGCAAAAGGCAACTTGTGTATTAAGAGGCCGAAGTCAAAATCTTTAGAAAAAAATTTTATATATAAGAAATATATATATATATAGAGAGAGAGAGAGAGAGAGTTGAAGTTAGATCCACCACAGTGTATTTGCACTGAATAACACGAATTTACTTGTGTTTCATCTGGGAATATGTTGAAAAAAATATTTTAAAACTGCAGTCGAAGCCAGTAATCTCACTTAATGTGTTAAATGTATATCTAGCCTATAGATAAATGTGAAGGGAAAAAGAAGAGATGTTAGAGAAATGGTGAAATCAATCGAAGTATCTCTGATTGTCCCTGTTTAAGAAAGCAAGAAATTGGCAGTTTGGAACCGGATTTTGTTTGGAGACAGAGTAATCTTTTTGAGCATTCAGTGACTGGTTGTTCTTTTAAGTACAGGCTTAAGTCTTGACGAAAGAATGGATTCCTCCATGTGCATTTTTATAGTGTGTTGAAGTTAATCGGCTTGTCAGTCTGTAAAGTGTAAACAGTTACTTGTGGATTTTTCAAATTTGTAGTGCCTCTGTTAAATCGTTGCTCAAGAAAATATGCAAGCTATTTTAAGTATAGAAACTAATCAGAGAATAAGTAGGTACATTTGATACCAAAGATGTATTCTAAAGCAAATTTTAATTACTTTTAGATTACACATGCTACACTGCTACTATGAATATTATTCATGTTATTTGGGATACAGTGTTTTGGAACTGCTAAGGGATAATTTACAGATAACCTAGAAAGATTGTATATTAGTGTTGAACTGAAAAAAAAAGTTATTATTATTGTTTTTTAATCTATGACCAGGAGAGCTAAGACACCCCGGAAACCTATTGTGAAGAAAGGGTCCCAAACGAACCTTAAAGACCCAGTTGGGGTAAGGTCTCACTGTGGATCTATCTGTGTGTATTTAAGAAACTTATTTCTTCAGTCCTTTCTTGTCTTATGTGTAGGCTTGGAAGGGAAGGAAGAGGAGATGTGGCTTCTATAATCAAAGAACATTTAGTTAAGTGGATGTACTGAATTGTGTAAAACTAGTTCTAGCTGTGAAATTTTCTCTATAAAGTTAATTAGTTCAGTACAATGAAGTCCTTAGTTGCCAACTGCAAACCTTCTGTAATTATCATTTGAAGAGTTAGATAATTAAAAGTCTCCAGCTGGGTTCGTATTCATCCCGAAGAATATGGACTGAGTTCATATGAACCCAGTTCATGCCATACAGCAATTGATGGCATGAGGAGAGCTCCAAACTTCTTGGGCCCAAATTTAATTCAGTCTAGTATCTATTCATAACGGCAAGTACTTCACCAGTTTCAGGCTTGGGAACTTGCTTTTAAAAGCAAATGTTAAATTATGAAGAAAAAAATTAAGCAGGCAAAAAGAATAAAAATTTTAAAACAAAACAACAAATGGCAAACAAAAAGAGTTCCTTTCCTCTGAGGTATTTAAAATCTACCCCTTGCTGCCACTGGAGTGGATCCCTGGCTCTGAAGTTAAGGGCACCAGGTGCTTTGCAGACAGCTGAACAAGTTTTCCTCAAGCCTCCTCTCCTGCTTTTAAAAATGTCTTTGTAGACCAGGCGCCGTGGCTCATGCCTATAATCCCAGCACTCTGAGAGGCTGAGGCGGGTGAATCACCTGAGGTCAGGAGTTCGAGAGCAGCCTGGCCAACATGGCAAAACCCCATCTCTACTAAAAATACAAAAATTAGCTGGGTGTGGTGGCGGGTGCCTGCAATCCCAGCTACTTGGGAGGCTGAGGCAGGAGAATCGCTTGAACCCAGGTGGTAGAGGTTGCAGTGAGCCATTGCACTCTAGCCTGGGCGACGAGAATGAAACTCTGTCTCTAAATAAATAAATAAATAAATAAGTCTTTGTATATTAAATGTTGGGTTAAGCTGATAAGTTTTTAAATTGACATCCATTTCCAAAGAATTCTAACAGATTTAAAAGTCTCATTTTGTGACATATTGTTGACTCTTAGAGATCTTAGTAGTAGTATAACTTATTTGTGTATAATATCATAGTGAATACACACTGCAATTTGATTTTTGTTATCAAAATTTATTTTAATTTTATGTGTATTTAAAGTCTTCTCGTCTAATGTGTGTTTGTATCTATCAGTCTCACGTAGCAGATTTTAATTTTCATAGCCCTTGGCAATACAGAGCTCTTAAATGGAGAGACCAAATGTTTGTTGAATGAATGAATGAGAAGCTTAAGTGAAAAATCAGGCAAAAAGTCAAACTTTGTTCTTTAAGCACCTTCCTGTTTGTTTAGGTATACTGTAGGGTGCGCCCACTGAGCTTTCCTGATCAAGAGTGTTGCATAGAAGTGATCAATAATGCAACTGTTCAGCTTCATACTCCTGAGGGCTATAGACTCAACCGAAATGGAGACTACAAGGAGGTAATTCTGATTTGCACCAATTGTTTTTACTCAATGTATTGTTTCCTGAATGACTTTTACATTTTTAAATGTAACAAAATTCATTTGTGAGCCCCATCACTATTAAAAATAGAAAAATTACCCGGTGTGGTGGCGGGTGCCTGTAACACCAGCTATTTGGGAGGCGGAGGCAAGGAGAATCGCTTGAACCCAGAAGGCCTAGGTTGCAGTGAGCTGAGATCCCGCCGCTGCACTCCAGCCTGGGTGACAGAGGTGAGACTCTGTCTCAAAAAAAAAAAAAAAAAAAAAAAAAAAAGGGAAACAAAACCACTGCACTGAAGATGGCTTCAATACTAATTACCTCCATATGCTCAGAGAAGTTTCTCCTTTGGGCCTTTAGTTTTCTTTACCTTGAAGGGAAGGAGTCATTCATGAGGACTGTGAATGAATGACTAACATGATGAAACCTTATCTCTACTAAAAATACAAAAATTAGCTGGACGTGGTGGCGTATGCCTGTAACTCCAGCTACTCTGGAGGCTGAGGCAGGAGAATTGCTTGAACCCAGGAGACAAAGGTTGCAGTGAGCCAAGATCATGCCATTGCAATCCAACCTGGGCAACGAGCGAAACGCCATCTCAAAAAAGAAAAAGAGACTTTTGCGTATTTTCTTTAGTAGTTGTGACTGAAAACATTTACCAGTTTATAACTGGTATAATTTAGGTATGTCATGACTTTTTAGTGAGTAACTAAAAAACGAAAGATTCCGACTGTAAAGACCATTTATGTTTTTTCTTTGCGTGCTTAGATCTTAAATGTCATAAAGAAACACCTTTAAGTTTAAGAAGATGTATTTTTTGCCTAGATAATAGTGGAATTCCATTTAGTACATTGTTCTCTCTCCACAGACTCAGTATTCGTTTAAACAAGTGTTTGGCACTCACAGCACCCAGAAGGAACTCTTTGATGTTGTGGCTCATCCCTTGGTCGATGACCTTATTCATGGCAAAAATGGTATGATGTAACTCTTGGAGTTTTGCTGGATTTTCCTTCTCCTCTTCTGATAAAACTTTTTTGATATTTTTATGTTTGGTGTTGAACCCATATTTAATTTGTTAGTGTGGTGGTAAACTTGCCTTGTTTGAGCTGGCTCATTTTTAGTGTTTGCTAATATAGTGAAGAAATATTACAAGCGGAGGACTTCCAAGATGTAACTCATCGTGACTTGCTACACCGTAGGTCTTCTTTTCACATATGGCGTGACAGGAAGTGGAAAAACTCACACGATGACTGGTTCTCCAGGGGAAGGAGGGCTGCTTCCTCGTTGTTTAGACATGATCTTTAACAGTATAGGGTCGTTTCAAGCTAAACGATATGTAAGTATGATTCTTTTGTGTTGTGACTTACCTTACTGGACTAAGATGCCTATGGATACAGTAATATTAAAGAAAAAACACTGGATTCCTTTGGAAACCTTAACTGTTCCTTAGTTTTTAAATATGTTTCTTACTATTTTAAGACAAATTCTAAAAATGTGGTATGATTTTCTTTTTTTTTTTTTTTTGCCCCTACTTCAGGTTTTTAAATCGAATGATAGGAATAGTATGGAAATACAGTGTGAGGTTGATGCCTTATTAGAGCGTCAGAAGAGAGAAGCTATGCTCAATCCAAAGACCCCTTCTAGCAAGTGAGTCATTATATTTGCATGCAGCACTGGCCTAGGGGCACAGGATTCTGTCCTGTGGTTCGCCCAGCCATGGGGAATGGTAAACAT